CATTAACAATATTAATTAATTAGGCCTTTTAGAGACAATCCTTAATAGAGAATAATAGTTCCTTTTAGGATGGCCTTTAAAATAAATCGAGGTGCGCCACGCCAAACAAAATTCATAAATTGCGTGGCCCTCTTTAATTTTATCTTCAAAATCTTTAGAACTCGGGACATGCCATTTAGCGAACTTTCATGGTCTCCCGCAAAGTTAACAACGCGTTAGTTGCTTTAGGCGCGTCATTTAATAATTTTACCTTCCTAAATTCGGGTGTGCATTTCATGTGACCCAAGTCCAAATCCCAAAACGTCGAATAAAATATGTTGCGGATCCGGGTGCATTTCATGTGACGTGATCCAAAAACACGTTTTAAATGACGTTCAACTTTCCTTACAAAATCAATTAAAAGCGGTAAATAATTCTAAAATTGTACTATATGATGAACATGTTTTAAAAGCATATATTAGGCCATTTATAATAGTTTAAGCGGCCGTGCTAGAACCACGGGATCCGCGGGTGCCTAACACCTTCCCCTGGGTCAACAGAATTCCTTAGTCAGAATTTCTGGTTCGCAGACTTCATTCGAAAAGTCGAAATTTCCTCGATTTGGGATTCAAGATAAACCGGTGACTTGGGACACCAAAAACCAAACCTATCCCAAGTGGCGACTCTGAATAAATAAATAATCCCAATTCGAATAATGTCACTTAAATTGGAAAAACTCCCTTATACACTATCCTTCGGGGTAGGTGTGTAAAAAAGGAGGTGTGACACCTGGAACCCTCATATGCTTCATAGATGGACTTTTCATATGAAACAATTCATAAGGGGACTTCCCTGCAAGTACTGGTGTAGGCATTCTGTTTATCAAGTAGACTGCTAACAATACACATTTATCCCAAAACTTTAATGGGATGTACCCTTGAAATCTGACTGCCCTAGCCACCTCCAGTATGTGTCTGTGTTTTCTTTCTACCACCCATTCTGTTGGGTGTGTATGGACAAGACCTCTGATAAATTATGCCAAACTTACTAAGCATATGTTTGCACATTCAGAGTTAATGAACTCTGTTCCATTGTCCGTTCCATAGTGAAAGGGATCGATCATGGAGGATTGAGCTAAGAGCTTCTTCTTCTTTTCTGAAAATGGAAAATGAATTACCGTGTACAGTCAACTTCCTAAGCTACTGTTATAAAACTAATTCACCGACTAACTACTGAGTTAGTTACTAACTTCTACATATTACATATACACCCATCACTTTTAAGTTAGCTACACAATACTACCCTACTTCATTCTTGTTACTCTCAACACTATTGTATTATTCACTCTGTTTCAATTTATGTGAACCCATTTGACTGGGCATGGAGTTTAAGAAAAAAGAGAAGACTTTTGAACTTGTGGTGTAAAATAAGGCACATTTAGTTTGTGTGGCTATAAATTATTGCATAAAAGTAAATTATTTCCAAATATGGAAAGAGGTCATTCTTTTTTGCACAGACCAAAAAGGAAATATGTTCACATAAATTGAAACGAATGGAGTATTATTTTAATGAGTAACGTTTGGATGGATTATATCGTTTGTCGCTATTACATGATATCATGTACCAAGAATATGAACGATAAACTTGTAATATTACAAAGAGAAAGTAGGGTAAGAGATAAGATTATTATATAAAAAGATAGGATAAAGGACAAAAAAAATACTTTTATTTAATAATAAGGATGGTCAAGATGAGATAGAAAAATAAGGTAAAGACACAACCACACCAAATCGGTTTTTATATAAAGTGACACATTCCGTTACGTAAAGACAGATTTAACGATATAATACAATAAAATTTAAGTAACAATCAAGACTAATAGTATATTATAAGTAACAGTACTAGAAAAGTATTAAAATTTCATTTCAACTAGTCAATTTTGTATAAATCATTTATTATATTTTCATGTTATTCTTAAATATTCAAAAGTCTAATTATTTTTTAAAAATATTCCAGCATTGTAATTAACAAAATAAAAAGTAAAACTTTCGAATGGTGATATACTTTATAGGTTATATAATAGTTACGAATTTCGAAAACCTCTTGAAGATATTATTCTAACTAATTTTTTATTTCATGCAAAAGATCGACAAATAAGGTATTATTTCCTGCCTCAAAATACCAGAGCGATTTAATGAAATAGGAGTACTCATTTTCTATACAATACTATTGGACGCAAATAATATTGAGTGTAGTAATGAATTTATTTATTTATTTTTTTTGTAATTATTTGACATGTTATAGCAGGTCAAATTGCATTAATAATGTTAAAATATGATACTATATCGGACGTATATAACTTGAATCGTAGCTAGAAAGAAATACTTTTAGTATGAGTTTAAGTTTATACATCGATAAAGATCTTTTATTTATAAGTGCAATTTAACAATTAATTGTACGTTATTATATAGGGAAATTACCAGTCATGTCAGTCCATAAGTAAATTAGTACAAAATTTAGCTAGTTCATAAAATATCACCAATATTTGCCAATTAGCTATTTGTAGCCAAAAAGAATATTAAACTGTTACTTTCTTTTGAGTGGGTGTTGTTGGAATCGATTGGATACATCTTAACGAGCTTATATCTCAGTTTTGGGATGAATTGGTAGAGTTTTGAGGTGGTTTAAATTAAAAATTCGAATTAGAAAATGAATATGAAAATAGATAATATGTGTATCACACTGTGTATCATTTGTGTACATATGTATCATATTTGTATCAAATGTGTATCACATGTATATCCATGTATACCTGTCTATGAGATACATGTGCCGCAGAAGAGTTTTTTGAACTCGATTTAACTACGAATTTTGATACCAAACCAGTCCAAATCACCTCCAAGTTTTCTCAAATTTTGTATATCGATTCATCTATATGTTTTCAATGAATTTCAACCATACCCATTAAAAAATATCCCTTTTTGCTTAGAGTTTTTTGTATTATATATATATATATATATATATATATATATATATATATATAATTTATATATATATATATGTATATATTTGTATTTCATCACCTTGTTTCCTACCTCATCCATGAAATTTCCTTTCGGTCTTACATCGAATGTTGCTGATCACACTTAAAAATATGTAAGAAGATCTTTACAAGTGATTCTTGGAGAGAAAGAATCCTTATTTATTTGGGTTTTTAATTTTTATGTGTTTGGCTAGTTTTGATAAGTCTATAATTAATGACTAGTGGTTGGTAAGTTAGAACGTATTTGGGACACTTCCGTAAGATTCCCTACTGTATATTCCAAAGAGGAATTTTCATAAACCACTATTGTTTAGTGGCTAGTAACTTCCTACAGCTACCATATACATAATTACTTCCTATATCTACTATTTAGTTGTTACGCGAATGTATTCGCCATATTCGCGCTACTGTATTCATGAATATAATAGCGAATTTTGTCTAAAAAAATAAGGAATTCCAGCTGTGCGACTGTATTTGTGCCACTGTATTCATGAATACAGTAGCGAAATTCGCCAAAAAATAGAGGAGTCCAGCTGTTTAATAACGAAAAGAGAATCAATTAGCGTGTATCACTCCTAATTTAACTCAACAAAATACATTCTACATAAATTTCGCTGCTACGTGGTTGTATTCGCTGTATTCGCGCTATGTATTCATGAATACAATAACGGAATTTACCTAAAAAATAGGGGAATCCAGTTGTGGGACCGTATTCGCTATATTCACGCTACTATATTCATGAATACAGTAGCGGAATTTTCCTAAAAAATAGGTGAATCCAGCTGTTTAATAGCGGAAAGAGGATCAGTTAGCATGTATCACTCCTAATTTAACTCAACAAAATCAATTCTACACAATTTTCGCTGCTACTATGATGTATCCGATGTATTCGCGCGACTGTATTTATAAAATACAGTGAGGTAATCAAGAAATTGAGTGTATACCGTTTTATTCAATTCGACCGTATACATTGTATTCAATTCACAGATATTCATTATTCACTATTATATATTGTATTCAATTTATCGTATTCAATTCGACTGTATTAAACAACAAAAAATCACAAAACACAGTGATATTCGGCTATATTATATTCAAAAATACAAACCTTCGAAATACATAAATACATGCAAAAAATAATATATTTATACAAAAATATAATGTATTTGAGTGTATTTGTACAGAATACAATATATTTGTATCATTGTATGTGACTAAAATAGAAAAGAAGAGAAGAAAGTTTACCGGAGATGTCGTTTTCTAGCCAAGCAAAATACTGTATACATTGTAATTAAACTAAAAATGGAGACGAACAAAAACCCGGCCTTCAAATCTTCTCCGGCTTAGCCATGGCCAGATCTGTTCGCCTAAGAGGATGAGCCAATAGTGAATGATGACGCTGACGAGGATTCTGACGACGACCACGATGATGACGCCGACGATTCTGCTGATTTGATGGAGAAGAGAGAGGATTGAGAATCTTGTTGATAGAGAGAAGGAAGAGAGAGAGAGAGAGAGAGAAAGAATATTTTATTTTATGCCTCAATGGTAGGTATAAATAAATAACTATTTGCTATAAAATAGAAAACGTAGCTATAAGTAATAATATATTGAAATTGTTTTAGTTTATGATAAATAGGGTGTAATAGTTTGCTATAGTAGGTAAAATTTCCTATTCTAAATTACAATATCATGCTGGATATGAGAATTACCTATTATTGCAATTTAACTAGCCAAATAATACAAAAATTATTTACACTAAAAGTGTACATAACATAAGCTCACTCTTTTGATAAAAGGTTATACAACAATTAAACAAATAGGAAACTTGCTGACAAAACTGTTGGTCTGCTGGAGACATCCGATAAAATTGGAGCAATATCAAACACATAAGTCTACCAAAAAAAGCTGATCATCAGCAAATAACTGAGACCTCCACTTTCCTTAAATTCTGCAATTTTCCCTCCTTCAAACTTCTCTTAACCCTAGGTATGGCCGGTACAATTAGAAAGCTAATTAAAAAAACAAAAACCCTTTTAATTTCTTCCCAAGGGCCAAGGTAGAGGTGGTAGTATGTAAAACTGTATATAATTAATAATTGATCATATATCTTGCTGGGCAAAAAATGAGCAATAACACAGACTCCATCTCTACCCAAAAAGTTCTTCAATGTGTAAGGTTCCCTCCCAGAGGGGTTTCACTTGGAATATTTGGAAAAGAGAATAATCCCTGGACTTATTCAGTCCCAACTATTCAATCTCAAATACTCCTTATATATGTTGTCACACAACTTTTTCATACCCCCCTCAAGCGCCTTGGATTTCCCAAGATCACTTCTGAAATCTTTGTATGTAATTTATCTCTCTTTTTTCTTTTCTTCATTTTGCATGTATTTCATTTCTTGTAATGTGTATTTTTCAACAACATTAGTTTCTCCTGTTTCTTGCATGCCCATTCTTCTTCAAATATTTGATTCTAATCCAATGGTCCTCTTAAGCCCATATTAATAGGACTTTAGAACAATAGAAATGCAATAAAATTGTAGAAAAAAGGCATTCGTTTGGTTTCTTAAATTTATAGTTGATACAAGTTTGTGTTCCATAGTGCATCATTTTTCGGGAAGGTACATACCCCTAAGGGTGGTCAACTCATCCTTGTCAAAAAATTACATTGTATATATATATGTAAAATATTAGATTTTAGTGATAAATAATATATATTGAACACCCTTTATAAAGATTGGTGAGTTTTCTGCTTCAAGTCTAGACTTTTACATGGATAAATGTGGAGTCACAATTGTACTTATTGTTGCATTCTTCCTTTGCCAACTCAAAAGCTATCCCTTGTACCAAATCTATCCAATTAGGTAGAAATGTCGTATAGAGGTTATATGAGGTCTCAAGAGCACACTTTAAATTTCTTAATTATATAATGTTTCAACATGCCCTCTCCCATGTTGGCCTGATTATTTTTCTGGGACCAAACAGGTCGAAATGTTATTTGCATATTGGGCGGCGGTGAGATTTGAAACCTATACTTGCTGTGATACTTGCTATTTTCAAGTGTGTGACTATCTCATTTGAGCGATTAATCTGTTAGAAAAAGCAGCACTCTTTAGGTATTATATCTCAACAATTGCCACCATATAACTGATGTGAATATGATTGTTTTTTGTGTGTGTAGGCCGGGTTAATCCTTGGATCTACTTTGCTTGGACGTTATAGGAGTTACCAAGAATCCTTGTTTCCTATTGCAAGTCAAGGAATTCTGGGTGCACTGTCAACTTTTGGTTACCTACTTTTCCTGTTTCTAAGTGGTGTGAAAATGGACACTAGCTTGACAAGGAAAATAGGAAGAAGAGCACTAGTAATAGGCATTCTTAATCACTTGGTTCCCTTGATAGCTGGTATGATAACCGTATTTGCGTTATCACGTTCTTTCTTTCAAGAAGGTGCCAAAACAGTGTCCCCTTCTGTTGAAGTGATAACTATTGCTAAGACCTCATTTCCTGTCATCTCTTTCCTCCTTAAGGATCTCGGACTCCTTAATTCTGAACTTGGACGGTTAGCACTTTCTTCCGCGCTTATTAGTGACTTATTTGGGCTCACTATCACCGTAATTAGCGTGCTAGTTGTTATAAGTGCAACGGGTACATTGGCAAGAGCAGTCAAGGATGCAATACTTTTTATTATTTTCATTATTGTGGTTATTTTTGTCTTTAGACCACTCATGATATGGGTAGCCAAAAGGACCCCTGAAGGGAGGCCTGTTAAAGACCTTTACATTTTGCTAATTGTTCTTGCCGTTTTACTTTCTGGTGTGTTCTCAGACTGGGCTGAACAAACAGTACTTGTGGGGCCTTTTATCTTTGGTTTAGCCGTGCCTGAGGGACCACCTTTAGGATCTACTCTAGTAGATAAACTTGATCCATTTGCCTCAGGCTTTCTGTTGCCTATTTTTGTAAGTCTAATGTCATTAAGAACAAATCTCTCCGCCATAAATCCGTCTTCTTCTTTTACATTTGCCAATATTATCCTAATGTGTGTTGCAAGTATATCAAAGATACTAGCATGTTTACTTCCCATGCTATATTGCAAGATGCCCTTAAATGATGCTGCAGCACTCAGCCTCATCATGTCTACGAGAGGGGTTGTCGACTTGGCTACCTACAGCTTCCTAAGAGATACTAAGGTAAGTGAATTCCTGGCCTCATTTAATCTAGTTGGAAAAAAAAAAAGCAAGAAATATCACCTTGGTTATGGCTTCTTGTTCTTGTATAATGTTGGCACAAGCAATAATGCAGAGGAATGAAAGTTCTAATGGACAAAATTTTCAACATATCTTTTGCAGATTATCAATCAGGAGACTTTTGCTTTTATGGTTATAGCAACACTTTTTACTGCAGTATTTGTACAAATCATGGTGAGCTGGCTTTATGATCCATCTAGGAAATATGCTGGATATCAAAGAAGGAACTTAATGAACTCCAACAACAAATTGCCCATACTTTTTTGCATCCACAATCAGGATAATACTGCTGCTATACTTAGACTGCTGGAGAAATCTAATCCCACTAGGGATTTCCCTGTAGTTGCCAATGTCCTCCACCTTATAGAGCTACGGGGTCGAGCATCTTCTGTTTTCATCTCCCACCAAGTTCAGACAAAGGCCATTTCTGATGTATCTTATTCAGAAAATGTCATTCTTGCTTTCCAAGGGTACGAACGGAACAACTATGGAGCTGTGACCATCCAGGCTTTTACGGCTATCTCCCCACGCAATCTAATGCATGAGGATATATGTACTCTTGCCCTTGATGTCCTTGCATCCATCATTATATTGCCCTTTCATCGAAAATGGGCCGTAGATGGATCAGTAGAAGTTGAAGACCACAGTTTGAGAACTTTGAACTGTAGTGTTCTTGAAAGGGCTCCTTGTTCAGTTGGAATCCTAGTTGACCGAGGCCAGTTACGCCGCTCTAACTCTGTCCGTTCATCACAGAATGCATATTGTGTTGCTATGCTATTTCTTGGAGGAAATGATGATCAAGAAGCATTGACTTTTGCTAAGAGAATGGCCATTAGTGGGACCGTTAGCCTCACAGTGATACGGTTAATGTCTAAGAAAGAAATGAGTTCTAATGTTGATCAAGTTGTTAATTTGGATATTGTAGGTGACTGGAAACATAGCAGAAGTGGTTGGGAAAATGTGCAGTACATTGAACGTCAAGTGAATGAAACAACGGAGACAGCCTTGTTAGTTCGTTCGTTAGTGGATGAATATGACCTTATAATAACAGGGCGACGAAATAATGTGCATTGTCCTCTAACAGCAGGACTTGAGGAATGGAGTGAAATCCCAGAGTTAGGAGTCATTGGTGATATGCTTGCCTCAAAGGATCTTAAGACCAGGGCTTCTGTCCTGGTGATTCAACAACAGCAAATAGCAATTTAGCTATATTATATGGATCCTTCAATTGCCATGTTATACCTGTATTAAACGGGTGTAATACTGGTGTGAATGCTCCGTCGAAATCCTCCCAAATACAAGAAAGGTTAGCAAAAGCTGCACGTACACCAGTATCAGATAACCGAACCCATGTACATAGCTCACTAGACTTTGTATATCTGATTTTTGTCCTTCTCCCTAACAGTTTTGTTACTCCAAAATTAACATGTTTGAATATGATTTTTGGTTTCATTTTCTGTACGTATACTTGAATCATTCATCTTCCTTTATTAAAAAGTGTATCTTCAGAATGCTGGATGTTAGCTTCATGTCTGTGAGAAAAAGACAAATGCGCGAGGAACTAAATCTCAAGGATTTTTCTCGTCAGCAATTTGCAAGTAAATAGGCAAGAATGTACTATATCTACTACACATGAATCTCAAATAAGTTGGTGGAACTACTAATTATGGCGGATCCACCTTGCAAGGCCGGCTCCGTAAAATTGGTGGCCTAAAGCCAAATTTTAATAAAAGGCCTTATACTTTTTTTATTAGTACGTATACACACATATATGCAAAAAAAATTAATCTTGCCATTTTTTCATACTTGTTGTTTATAGCATATATTCTTAAATGACATAAAGTCTTTAACTTCACATAGTAATATTATTATTTATATTAAAAAGGAAAATTTAAATAAATGAGATATTAGACATGTATTTGCAATATGTTACATTTGATATTTTTGTAAAAAATATATTTATTAATATGAAGATTTAAGTAGTTTAATTCAAAGTTTTAAAAATATTTTTACTGTTTAAGAGTAGACATCTTTCTTTCTTTTTTACAATTTTCTTTGTGCTTTTATTTTTTCTACAAACATTTATATTATCTAATTTGAAATAAAATTATGGAATTCATTATTGAAAATTTTGGGGGACCTAAATCAAGGCTTTACTAGTCTCCTACTAGAGCCACTTATCCGCCCCTGACATTCTCAATAAAATTTATAGAGTCTCACTTAAAATATGGCAACTATGACAAGAGCATGCAGCAAGTTTGTCATTCAGTTACCAAATGTGAATGAAGCTGGTTGAATAGTACGTTTATAGTAGGGCAGTAGTCTGTAAATAATTGTTGATTGTCAATGAGGGGCGGCTCAACAAAACTGGTGGCCTAAACCAAAATATATTAAAAAGACCCTGAACGTCTCTTATAAATTTCATATAATATTGAGACATAAAAACACCTACATGACTTTGATATAGTGGTGAGAGCACCACTCATGATGTATCAGTTAGGCGCGCATCATATGGAATTAAATTCTTTCCTTAAGTGAAATGGTAAAGGGAGAGCCCATTATTCATCATGTTTTGAACCTTGCAACATTTGCCTCGGGGATTTCTTAGTTAAAAAAGTTGAGACACAAAAAAACTTACTTTCTGGTGTGTGGATCAATCAAATGTGACAAAAAAAATAGTTAATTTGGAGAATTGGAGTTGAAATTAGAAAGTAAAATCGTAAGAACCATGAAAAAAGACTATACATAAAGAAAGAAAAATAAAATTGATGAGAAGGTAAATATATTATTTAATTTAGTGACAAATTTAATTCCAATTAACTCAATCTTACGTCTACCAAATGTTAAAAATTATTAAAATTTAAAATCTTTTATTAATAATTATATAAATATATTATGGAGTATATATATTATATAATAATACAATAGTAGTTTTTATTTTTGGGGCCTTAATTATTTGGGGGCCTAAGATAAGGGCTTCACTTGCCTTACCCTAGAGCCGCCCTTGCCACCATGTCCCAAGTGGTGTCACGTGACACCGCTTGGTCGGAAAATTTTATTAAATATGTCTATATAAATAAAATCCAAAAGATATATAACAGTATTATTTAATAAAGTGACACCACTTGATATGAATTGCTGGGTAGCTCATTTGGTCAGGAGGTTCAATCTGTCTAGTAGAGGTCACAAGTTCGAAGCTGGGCATCTTCGTTATTTGTTATTGCATTTTTTGAGCTTCATCTACAAATGAATTTGGGGTCAGATTTTTTTATATATAGAAAGAGTATTTAGTATTATTTTTAATGAGGTTTCTTTGAATACATTTTAAAAAATAAAAATTCATCTGTAGTAATATTCTTGAGTTATGTTTATGATTTTAACTATATATTTCTTAATATTATGTTGTTATAGTGAATTATTATTTGTTCCCTGTTTAAAATTGTGACACCGCTTATAAAATTCTGTGTACGCCACTGATTATCTTTGAGCTCTGGACTTCAACTTGGTCTCTTACGTTCACTAGGACATGTACTCAAACTATTTTTCTCGTGTTATAAACATGCCCAACTTGAGTCCTAAAAAAGATAACCGGCCGCTGCAAATATAATCCGGTTCGGAGTCGCACAAAGAACTAAGGCTTAGCTACAGTTGTTCAATATCGCTAAGAAACACAAGTTCAAAGATTTTCTAGATTGTGATTTTTGTTTTAAACTAATTAAGTAACAAATACTAGAAAACAGTAAAATTATGGCCTAATACATAAACAGATCCTCAAACTTGGGTTCTACTGGCAAGTAGGCCCTCCAACTTTGGGTGTGAATAAGTAAGCACCAAAAATTGTACACAAGTTCCAAAATGATAAAACAGAATTATTCCAAGTCTCGAAACTAAATTAGAATCCGATAGCCATAAAGTCAACCCATGGTCAAACTTAGGAAATTTCTAAACCTTCAAATTGCCAACTTTGGCAAAAGAGCCAAGTCAACCAAGGAACCGCTGAATCAGATCCGGGGCATATATCTAACTCCAAAATTACCATACGAACCTATTGGGACCATCAAAAAATTATTTCTGGGTAATTTTCACAAAAGTCAAACTTGGTCAATATTTCTAACCTAATCTTCCAAACTAAGAACCAATTGTTCCAAATCAATCTAAAACCTCTCCGAAACCCAACCAATCATCCCCACAAATCACATAACCACAAATACACACACGAAAGGCTTCAAAAGGGAAAACAATACTCAAATACACAAAACAATCGATCAAATCATTACATAGATTGATCTTTAAATGGTTCACGTTATGCACTATAAGTGGAGATGATCCATCACTTGAAGTACCATCATCTTCCTTCATAGTAGAGTTCTGGGATATAGAGAGGTTAAGTAGAGCTATAATCTCCTTAATATTTTTAGCAGTATTGCTTCCTCCTTCAAGTGCGTTAGTAAAAGATCTTACTCCTTTTGAGGATGAAGATTCAGAAACAGGAGTTGATGCAGATGGCACTTGGAGCGCTTACTGTCCCGGTAGCTTGCTTTACTCCATGTAACTGGTCCAAAACTTCCAAATGTAACATCGAGGATCACATCAGCATAGAACTTGAAAATTGCATCCTTAAAGGAAGTTAATTTTCTTTGAAGCCATTTCGATGTTTTGAACATTGATTATCGAAAAATAAGCTGAGAGGCAGAGATTGTCCTATTGGGCTTGCCAAATTTTTTAGATAATAAAATTCACGTCAAGAAAATAATATGGGTCCATAAAAATATTACATAGTATTCTATTTCAAACAATACGAGTGTTACAATCTTTATGAATCCTCTAATTCTTCTCAAATAAAATACAAGAGCTTCCGAGCTTGATCTTGAATTTTAGTTTATTTTATTTTAATTCAAGTGTCTGAGGCTTGATCTTGATCTTGACGTATTTTAGTCAAAGAGTTTGTAGCTTGATCTTGAAATATATGTATGTCAATCCAAGGGCTTGCAACTTTTTTTGAACTTTCGTTTTGACTTTTAATATTTAGAATAGGTTGACACGTAGGAATAAGTAGAGCCCAGATCAAATAGAACTGAAGCATCTCTATGAAAAACTGGAACAATACCTATGATAATAGCGTCATATGACTCAGCCTCAGGCCTAGCTAGGAAAGCATAAATCGGGGCTGGGCCCTACCACTCTGAACTACGTCTCTAGGATGGGCTCTAGCTGGCCGGCCTCCATCTTTAACGACCTGACCTCCACCTCTAGCGATCTGACCTTGGCCTCTAGCTGGCTGAGTGGGCGGTGAAGCAACCGGTACCGGAACTATGGCACGAGAACCCTGCTGTTGTGTGCTGCCCGTGGGCAAAATCTAGCAATGTGCCTCGGATCACCACAAGTATAACAAACCCTCAGATGCTGGGACTGCTGACCCTGGAACTGACCCTGTCGACCTGGGTAACCACCCTGAAAACTTTGGAGCGTAGGTGCACTAATAGGAGCTGCTGGTGCAGTGTAGGCTAGCTGGTCGGGATGAGACACATAAGGGTCGCGCCCCCCTGATGCACTATGAGATGCCTGGAGCACTGACTGAAGTGACATTGAGGGATGGCCTCTACCAAAAGTACCCCTACCTCCAGACGGGTCACCACTGAACCCACCGAAATGGCGAGGCCTCTTATCAGTCCCCTGCCCCCTCTCCTAATCAAGAACCATCTCAATCTGCCTAGCAACATTTGTAACTGTTTAAAAGGAAATATCACCCCGTTTCCTTGGCCATCTGTAGCCTGATAGTGTAAGTGAGTCCATAAATAAATCTCCTCACCCTCTCCCTCTCAGTAGGAAGCAAGATAGGGGCATGACGAGCAAGATCCACAAAGCGGGTCTCATATTGAGTAACAGTCATACTGCCCTGCTAGAGACGCTCAATCTGCCTGCGGTAATCCTCTCTCACTGTGACAGGGAGAAACTTCTCTAGAAATAACTGTGAGAACTGATCCCAGGTAAGTGCAAGCGACCCAGTTGGTCTGGTCAACATAAAATCCCTCCACCACCTCTTGGCAGAACCTGTCATCTAAAACACAGCAAAATCGACCCCATGGGTCTCAACTATACCCATATTCCGCAGCACCTCATGGTAGTGGTCAAGATAATCCTGCGGGTGATCACAAGGTGCACTACTGAAGTGAACTGAAAAGAGCATAGTAAACTTGTCAAACCTCAATAAAGCCTCAGAAAACATGGCGGTCCTATCACCGGCCTGTGTCGCAACAACCAGCTGAACTGCCCCAACTGGCGGGGCTGATGGAGTCTGATACTGGGGAACCATAGGCTCTGGAGTCTGAGTAGCGGGAGTCTGTGCTCCTTCCCCAATCTGAGAGACGACTGGTGCCACTGGGAATGTACCGGCCTGGGCCATGCTCTCTGATAAGTAGGGATTTTAACCTATTATTTGCTCTCTTTTACTTGCATT